CTGGAGTCACCATATTTCTCACATCTCCCGACGGACAGTTTCTACCCTCAAACTATTCCATCGATTCCGCCATCTCCTACCTCAACATACGCGTAGACTCCTCGTTTCCTCTCTCATCTTCCCCCACTTTGACTACTGCTGTGTGGTGTATGATGGACTCTCGGTGGAGCTCCGTGACAGACTGAAAAGATTAATGAACAGTTGCGTGAGATTTGTAATTGGTGCCCCGAGATACTACCATGTCTCTCACCACTACACTGAGTTAGAGTGGCTCTTCCCCTCCATTCGAAGACAATATTTCCTAGGTACATTCCTCTATCATATCATCAACAATCATCGTCCTTCCTACGCCTACAACCTTCTCCAATTCAAGTCCTCAGTCCACTCTCTCTCCACAAGATCTCGACCTTCCGACCTTTATATTCCTTCTCACAGATCTGCCTCGTTCCAAAACTCCTTTATTGCTCGTTCAGTTAGTTTCTGGAATTCCCTTCCTATCAAAATTCGACATTCTTCATCCTTATCTACATTCAAAACCCTCCTATTCCAATTCCTGTCCCAAAAACAATCAGATACCAGCTAACCTTTTATGTAAAATTACATATTGTTTATAATAACATATTCACATATAGCTCATAACTTAAATACTTATTATAGATTCGACTTTTTTTTTTTCAACAGAAACACTGATTTTACTGTTAAGAAGAATTTACATTTATTTTTTCTGTATTTTTTATTTTTTCTAAAAGGGTTTATTTATATTTTAACATTGTACATAGTTTTAAATATCTTAGTATGGTTTCAAGAGTTTTGTATATAGATTTTTTTATTTTATTTTGTATATAGTATGTATAACGAATTTTTTTTTCTTTTTTTTTACTGATTTATCTTTATCTTAATTTTTTGTTTGTTTTTATCTGGCCAGATATAAAATTTTGATTTCTGTACTTTTTTGTTATTCTGAAGGGACTTCGTCCCAGAATAAAATTATTTTTCTATTCTATTCTATTCTGTATATATATATATATATATATATATATATATATATATATATATATATATATATATATATATATACATATATATACTTAAAGGTCCGTGCTAGTGCAATGTCAGCACTGACTCATTTCCTTTTCTTATCCTTATAAATACGATCTCCTCTTAGCGTGAGACAATTCACTATTCAGAATTCATTGTCATTATTAGTTAGGAAGTAGACTAGTTATTATTTTAGATAGAAATTAGACCAATTATATTATATTTGCTGTCATGTTTCAATAAAGTTTCTTTTTAAAAAGTCATTTAGCATTGAAGATTATTTAATTGGCGCCCGAGCACAGGGACTTGAGGGCTTATTCTTAGAAGATTTCAGACTTAGAACTTCAAACAAGAATTCATCAAGGAATTTCTTCAGAAGACTAAGTTATAAAACACTTGCTTTTCAGTAACTGTTCCTGAATTTTTTCATCATAATTTCAAGTTGTCACTGTGGAACTTGTTCATCAAACTCTTGAATAAGGAAGAATATTGCTGATCTCTTAAGATCTTACTCAAGTTAAAAGAAACATTGATAATTAACTCAGCCTAAATAAACTTGCACATAATGAACATCCTGTAGATTACATAAATAAATTAATTGAAAAACGTAGAGACTTAATTACAAAGATATATACAGAAAATGATACAGGAAATCTTAAAATTTATGATAAAACAATTGCTACAACCGCTGTACTTAATTTACATCCAGTTTTAACTAGACAATTTACACATATAATTTATAATAATTTAGAAGACATAAAAAATTCATTAAAAAACACTTTTTCTATTGTAGTTTATCAATTATACGGCATTAGGAAAACACAACAGACTAACTTCACCAATCAAAAACCAGTTCAAAACAAATTCCAACAAAAACCTCGACAAGAATATCATAACTCCCAACATAATAAACAAAACTTTCAACATTACCAACACAGACAAAACTTTCATCATCCACAAAATAACGATAAACATCAAAATTATCAAAAACCACATAACACACTATGGAATCAACAAGAACAACATAAATTCTTTAATAAACCTAATTCAGCACAATTTCTTCAACAATACAATTTTGAAAAACTAGAAAAACCCGAGACAGTTTCCATGAGAACAGTATCGGACAGAGCTCACCACATTGAAAACGATGACATTTCATACCTAAAACAAGAAAACCAATCTCTTAAAGATGAAATCCATAATTTAACTTCTCGATTCAATGATTTTTTATCCAATGGCTTACACAACAACGATCCACCGCCGATAGAACAAACATACGAGAACGACACGTAAATGAGATGACACAACCGAACACTAATATTAATAATAATTGTAATTTTAAAATTAATTCTAGTTCCAATATTAATCGTAGTAGTAGTAATGCGAAACCCATTTATCACTTAAATGATACTTCAATGTTACCCAGTAGAAAAGATTTTACTCATAAAATTTGGCTGATAGATACGGGAGCATCTAAAAACTATGTCCATCCTAGGATAATTGAACAATATAATTTAAAAGTTATAGAACAACCATTCTTGATTTATACTCCAACAGTAATAGGCAATGGTTAATATAAAGTAGATTTAAATATGAAAAAATCTGGTGCGCGCAACACACAACTTTCACTTACTCTTTGAACTTTGAATAAAATTATTTTCTGGCCATGTTAGGCTATTATAAAATGTTTTAAATTGCATTTTAAACTGAGCTAAAGCTAAAAAAACACAAATGCCATTAATAACAAAAGTCATATTTATTATATCACCGGTTGATTATGGATTGTACGATTCGTTGATTATGGGTTATTCGATCCATTGATTATGGATTGTGCGACTATAAGTCATTAAACTGTTATTTTCCATTGCAAAGTTTATTAAAACGGAATTAAGAGATTTGCAGTGTCTGTCATAGACAGGTCAAAAGTTGTCACACTAATTGTAAGTGGATTCTGTTGGAATAACGCAAAAAGAAAAATTATCAAACTATTCACTAATTTGATTTTCTAAAAGGTTACATGATGATTTTTCGGAATAAACGGACGATAGATATCTAAATATTTAAATATATTATGAGATCTAGAGTTATTAAACTACATTAAATATATTTAGAGTTATAAACGTATCTATGAAATATTTTTGTATTTTACTTCTTTTTTCACACAAGTACAATGAAATGGTAGAGGAATATCACAAAGAGAAGATCTATCGAATTATTCACTAATTTAGTTTTCTAAAAAGTTATATGACAATATTTTGGAATTAACTTTAATACCTAATTATTTATAGAGAAATACTTTATTAAAAGTAATGCTGCCCTACTACATAGGGTTGCTTCGTACACAGCGTACTTATCAATCCATACGGACATAAATTTATATTATATTTTTCTTTTATTTTTCTCCCCCTTCATAACAATACTCTTACAAATTATCAAAAATAAACCATATTAAACAATAATAAACACTTTCCCAAAATAAAAAAAAATTCCTTTTTTCTCTTTAAATTCTCAAACGCCAAGAACGCAATATAACATCGCACACATATATAACACAGCAATTCCTTGAATGTAGCCAAAAAGATAAGACGATTATTGACCAATTTAAAATTTAATAAATAATTACTAAACTACAGTAAATGTATTTAATATTATAAACACATGATTTATACATTCATGAAATGATTTTATATTTTATTTCTTCGTTCACACAAGTACACTGAAATATTTTTTTTAACAATGCCATCAACTTATTTAGGTGGATTTTAAATACATTTTAAAAAAATTAGCATTACCTTATTAACACATTAAAAATTCAAAAACCGAAACAAAGGATATAACCATTGAAGCAGAACGTATTAAAAAAAACTAGAGACCATATCTTATCTCCTAATTATCCGATTTTAACAATTTTGTTTTTTTGTTTTTTAGGCTATTCCATAAACTTTTAGAAAACCATACAACATTCCCAAAAAAGTGTATACTTTTTGAGTTATTCGGAATTTAATTATACCATCCCTCGTAACTTTTTTTCAGCTTCTTTTCGCTGATGAATGTTATATAGATAAATTTGAAGGGTGTCTAGAAAATGACCTTAACGAAGTTTCAATGAAATCGGTACATTCGTTTAGGCGCTACAGTCTATAGCTATGTTTTTCTGCATTTTTATTTTTTTTTCTCCTTTATTAACTTATCAAATTCTTTCAAAAGTTATATTTAGCATTTTTTCGTAACTCTAAATAATGCGAAATAATTATCTTTTTAAAATAAACCATATTAAAGGTACTTTAGAGGAAGACGTATATGAACATTGGACATTTAAGCCCTGTAAAGTGACATCAATGGGGATAAGACCTAATTTATATTAAAGACCACTTAATTATACAATGATACACCGAGTTTAATCAAAATCGTTAGAGCCGTTTTTGAGAAAACTGTGAAAATGTGTTTCAGCATTGATATAAAGTGGCACTTCCGGTTAGCCGATTTTAAGGAAAAAGTTGCCGTCACAACTAAGGCCTACCTATAACCTATCTTAAATACGTGATATCAGTTTCATAGGACTTTTCGTTTTTGAGCTAGACTGCTAACATACAAACACACAGACACACAGACCATTTTTCGGGACTTGGTCATTTCGACTCAGGGTACCTCAAAACGTATAAATCCGTCGAAAACTCAGATTCAAAAATTTTCTCGATCGCAATACTTACACTTACTATATATTACATATATACGTAAGTGAAAGTAAAAATCTTTAGGTAGTGATACTAAAATAGAACTTTTAGTATATCCGGTAAATGACAAATATGACTTCTTACTTGGTTATGAAACGATGAAAGATTTAGGTAATTTAGACAATCACATAGTGATCGGTGATACCGTATTTAAATTTGATCATTCCAATTATAAGAAAACAAATCAATGTCATCTAATGGATAATAAATTAGAAATTAAAAATGTTATTAGACATGAGCATCTAAATAACAACATTAGAAATAAGTTAATGCAAATAATAGCCGAAAACGGTGAAATAAAAAAAAAAAAGAATGAAAATCTTAATGCTACTAATTTAATAAAACATAAAATTATAACAAGTAATGAAAATCCGATAAAAGGAATTATAGATACCCAGAACAATTTAAAGAACAAATTAATAATGAAGTCTCAAAATTATTAAAGGATGGAATAATACGTCCAAGTAATTCACCTTACAATCCTCCATTATGGATAGTGCCAAAAAAGGCAGATGCCAGTGGAATAAAAAAAGTACGCATGGCCATAGACTATCACAAATTAAATCAAGAGACTATCAAAGATAAATTTCCTTTACCCAACATAGAGGATGTATTAAATAGACACTTAAGGGAGCCAAATACTTTAGTACTATAGATTTAACATCAGGTTTTCATCAGATATTGATGAAAGAAAATTCAATTATCAAAACAGCATTTAGTACTGACAATGGTCATTACAAATTTTTACGCATGCCATTTGGATTATGCAATGCCCCACCAACATTCTAAAGAATGATTAATATGGCTATCGCTAATTTACCGAGAACTATGGCATATGTCGACGATATAATATATTCTAAAAATGAAGAACAACACCTAAACAATTTAGAGACAGTTCTACAAAGATTAAAGAAACATAATTTAAGTATACAGCTCTGTAAAACGGAATTTTTCAAGACTGAACTAAAATTCTTAGGTTATATTGTCACACAAAATGGTTTAAAAACAGACCCAAGAAAGATAAAAGATATATTAGAAATGAAGTGCCCTATTGATGAAAAATCTTTAAGATTCTTAGAAATGACAGAATATTACAGAAAATTCATAAAAAATTATGCAAAGATAATGAGACCTTTATCTTCAGCTATAAACACACAAAAAAAATATTAAACAAATGAATTTAAAGAAGCTTTTGATATTTTAATTAAAATGATGTCTAACACACCAATTTTAGCTTATCCAGATTGGAATAAATAATTTATATTAACCACAGACGCTAGTAATCAAGCTATAGGCGCAGTCCTTAGTCAAATTACTGATGGAACAGATCACCCTATTGCATACGGATCTAGAGTATTATCCAAAACTGAAGAAAATTATTCAACCATAGAAAAAGAACTATTAAGTATTGTTTACTTCTCACAATTATTTAAACCATACCTTTATGGATCAAGATTCCTTTTACAAACAGATCATAAACCCTTAACGTGGGTTTTCTCAATGAAAAATGGAAACTCGAGGATTATGAAATGGATCTGGAAATTGCAGGAGTTCGAATTTGATATCAAGCATATAGATGGAAAAATAAATCATGTCGCTGATGCACTTTCTAGACGGAACGAAATCAATCATCTTGAAGAAGAATCTATGGAAACAAAACCAATCGAAATTCATACACCAAACTCATCATCCCCTGAGTATGAAACTTTTATACAGAGTTTATTACAGGAAGGTACAGAAAATAATAATGAAATCCAACCAGAGATGGATCTAAAATTACCAGACATTTAAAATAATAATGATGATAACCAAAGTATTATGACTCAACATTCACAACTTAGTAGCAATGAACAATTTTGGATAGTTTATGATGATTAATGTTGAAATATTGAAAAAAGACAAGTAATAATAAAGAAAGCATTAATAAATAAGGTTAATATTGAAAAGATATTCGAAAAATCACGTTACACAATTGAAATTAAAGATCTCAATAAAATTTATGATTTATTATTAGAAATATTAGAACCCAACAAAACATTCGGAATATATTGTCAATCACGTTTTGCAGCAACAACTCAAGTATTAGAATCTTATTTTAATGAAATCAGAAAAATAATTGAGGAAGAATTTAAGACAGTAAGAGTTAAGAAATATTCATTACTATGTAAGGACATTACAGACTCAAATGAACAAAAACAAGAAATAATAGATAATCATATAGGAAAAACTTGCCATCGTGAAATATTAGAAACTTACGAACATCTAAAAAGAGAAATATACTTTCCAAACATGAACGACAAAATAACGGAACTTATAAACTAATGCGATATCTGTAAAATAAGCAAATATTATAGGAAACCTATTGAAGCTAAATTTCAATTGACTAACACACCGGAAAGACCCTTTCAAGAAATAATGATAGACTTATTCTTTTACGACAAACACATTATATTCACGAGCATAGATACGTTTTTGAAATGTTTATATGTACAAATTATTAACTCTAAAAATGCTATGACAGTTTGTCAATCTTTAGAAAAATACTGCATGTTATATCCTCCCCCAGAACGAATCATTTGCGATCGAGGAAAAAAATTCAACAATATGTTGATTAAACAATTTTTTAAATCTCTACAACAAGTACTAATCATTCTAACTCACTTGGAACACTTAATAAATGTCACGCCACATTCACAGAAATTCTAAGACTTAACGCTAATTCACATAAAAAATATAAATTTGATAGAATTGTACAAACAAGTATAATTGCTTTCAATAATTCACTTAATCAAAATCTTAAACTAACACCTAATGAAATTACATTTGGTAAATTTCAAAATAATTATGAAACAGAAGACATACAAGAAAGTTACATACACCATTACTTTACTGGCTTAAATAAATTACAAAAAATGGTACATGATAAAATAACTAATGAAAAATAAAAACAAACAGATAAACTTAACGAAAATAGAGAAGAACCACGTAAATAAGTATATTTCACAATCAGTCCGATTGAGAAAGGAGTAGGTGTTTAAAGAGGAAACTGGTGGAGCGTGTCGAATATCAGCAGGGATGGAATTCCAGAGGGAGGCGGCTTGTATTGCAAAGGATTTGTCAAACGCAGCAGTTCGGTGAAGAGGAGGATAGAGTAGTGGTTTATATAATAATATGCAGACACTAAGATAAAATAAAATCTTAGGATACTTGTGGTGTAATGGAAAAAAAAATAAATAGATAAAATAAAAGGAACTATTTATACGTACATTCTCATATTGGCATACATAAAGACAAAAATATAAAATATAAGCATATATACCCGAAAGAAAAAGCACAACCTGAGGAGAAGAGAAAAATACATAAAGAGTAAAAATAATAGTCAAACTAGGTGACAAACATCATTGCTGTTTTATGTTAAAACTTAAACAGTAGGCACCACTATTTACTTCACGCAAATTCAGTTCATAAAATGAAATTTATTGTGGTAAATCTTCTGTTTGGGATGTAAGGAGATATTTGAAAGTTGACAGGGAAGAGGCATGACGGATGTTATATGGCAAAGAATTCCAGTAGGAGACGGAGCTGGCTAAGAAGGAACGTTCATAGGTTTTTGTCCTGTGGAATGGAATATAGAGGTCAGAAACACGGGATCTCGTTTTTATTGAGTGGACTAAGGGTTTAGGCTGGAGGAGACAACAGATATAGGAAGGGTGCTGGGAGTTGATCATTTGGTATAAGAAATTTCCAAGGAAGTATAGGCGGCGGGAAGAGGGGAAGAGCCACTTTGACTCGGCATATAGGTGGGACACATGAGACCATCTCGAAGTGCCGAAGACGAATCTTAAAAAACAGTTCATGATTCTCTTCCGTCTGTCCTCAAGCTCCAACGAGAGGCCACCGTATACCACACAGCCATAGTCAAAGTAGGGGAAAATCAATGAGGAAACGAGGAACCTGCGGATAGGTTGTGGGAGATGCTGACGAGAACGATGAAATAATTTAAGAGTACCAATTGACCTTCTGGAGATTTGAGCAATATGGGTTTTCCATGATAGGTTTTGATCAATGGTAATTCCCAAGTTTTTTACAGAGGAGGTGAAGGAGATTGGTTGGTCATTAATATTCAGGGAAGGATGGGTGGAAATGGATCTAAGGAGGGAGTTGGAACCTTTAAGAATGGCCTGAGTTTTCTTTGCATTCAACTTTAATTTATTCAAGCTTGCCCAGGCACTTATCCTATCTAGGTCTCTCTGAATATTCGTAAACGCTTCTAATAACTCAGTGAGCGGAAAGGAAAAATAAATTTGGGAGTCATCAGCATATAGATGATATGAACAATGGATTGAACTAGGAAGGTCATTGATGTAAGAATTAAAAAGGATAGGAAAAATGCTTGAACCCTGGGCTACTCCATGAGACAAAGTGAGGAAATAAGATAAGGGTTGATTTGGAATACTAACGGCTTGAGTCCTGTCAGAAAGAAAGGATTGGAACCATTGGATAGAACTATTGGAAAAGGATAGAGATTATAATTTATTGAAGAGAATAGAATGGTCTAAGGAGTCGAATGCTTTGGAGAAGTCCAGGAGTACTAATACAGTCAGTTTTCTTTCGTCAATTGCAGTATGTATGTCATTTGTGATTTTAGCTAAAGCGAATTGAGTGGAGAAGCCTGGGCGAAAGCCAGATTGGAGAGGATCTAAAAGTTTAAACTCTTCGAGGTAATTGGAAATTTGGGATTGGACTATTCTTTCGAGGGGTTTTGACAGATTTGAGAGGATGGAGATTGGACGATAGTCTTTAGGAGAGGTGGGGTTAGGGATTTTGTTAATAGGACGGACTAAGGCTTTTTTCCAGGATGTAGGAAAAATTGAATTTTGAAGGGAAAAGTTATAAATGAATAGAAGAACTGGAAGGATTTCAGGGAGGCATAATTTTATCAGTTTGACAGGTATTCCGTCAATTCCTGTAGAGTGGGATTGGGATTTCATTATGGAGGAAATAAGATTCGTAGGAGTGATGTAGGAAAAATAAAAATTGTCACTATTAAATGCAGATGATACAGGAATATAAGAAGAGGCGGGAGAAATATTACTAGAGGAGGAGGACAAAAAGTAGGAATTTAAGGCATTAGGAGAGACTGGTACAGCTAGGGAAGAAGATGATTTGCAAAGAGATAGCTTTCGGAGTAAATCCCATTTGGATTTTGAATCGGTAGCTGAGGAGAAGGCTTCATGAAAGT